CTTTGCGTTCAGTGGGCCAAAATCGTTTTCTGTAAAGTACATCACCATAAGGGTGGGTGATGTCACCAGCAGAGGGAGGTTTTTGGTAATTAAACCGTTCTAGCTTTTGTCTGGTAATAAGGATGGGTCACTGGAGACCAAGACATGTTCAATCACCATATATGGGTGTGAAAGCTGGTCAGTTAAGAAAGGCTGAAAAGAAAAAAAATGTTTGAAATGTGGTGCTGGAGGAGAACTTTGCAGATACCCTGGATGGCCAGAAAGATGGAACAAGAGGATCCGAGATCAAATTGAGTCTGAACTATGTAGCAAAAACGATGAAACTGAGGCTGTCTTACTTTTGGGCACCTCATGAGAAAGCAGGATTCTCTGGAAAAGACAAGACTGCTGGAAAAATATAGGGCAGCAGGAAAAGAGGAAGACCAAAAAATGAGATGGACTGGCTCCCTAAAGGAAGCCACAGAGTTGAATATGGCAGTTCAGGAGAAGACATTTTGAAGATCACTTGTTCACAGATTCACCCTAGGCTGGAGGCAACTTGAGCGCATATAACAATAGCCTCTGCCCCACACCTCACTTGGCTTCCAAATGCAACTCATGTCAATTCCACATGAGTAGGTCCAGCGCCAGGATAAAAGCAGGAACCATTTAGTGATGCCACCACCCCTCCACAGGTCTAATTTGCAAAGCAGGATGTTGGCCGTTAATGGTTTTAATATCCGAATTTATTCCAGTTGCGCTTTGAAATTACAAATGTTCGTGGGCCTATTTTGGCCTATGCTTTCTTTCCGACCTGGATGTGAGCTATTTTGTCTTCAGGTCAAGGGAGAAAGCAGGGTAGGAATCAAAGAAGCGGTAGAGGTTGTCTCGCCTAAAGTGGCTAGCCGGGGCCCTGAGAGGATGAGACCAGGGTCACCTGGGAAGCATGGTTTCCAGGATTCTAATCTGGGTCCCTGTTTTGCATGGCCACAGGCGGAAGAAGTGAAGGCGATCGTCAAGAGCGAGATGGGGGACCAAGAAGGCGGTGAGTGGATCCAAGCGGCCTCTCCTTCCCCCCGCCCCCCTGATGGAGCCATGCCTCCTTCCCGCCCCGCAAAGTCTACTGTATTGTAAATTAGATCAATTTGAATGCTGGCACAGCCTTGCCCGGCAAAGCAAATTTCATCCCATTAGTTGCAAACGGAGTTGTTTCTCCAAGACGGCTAACTAGATGAATCCTAGTCGTTGCTGGTCACGGGGTCTTCGATGCGCCTCTGACCTTTGTTGGGGGGACAGTCATGTATTTCCTTGTGGGACTTCAATTCCACCATTCTTTTTTTCTTCTCCCTTGTGGAGTTTCGACAGCAAATCCCTTAATTGATCTCCAAGCCAATTCTCCCGTCTCTCCCGCTTTCGGCACTCAAAATGGACCCTGAGCTGGAGTTTCGGGACACGGTGTGTCTGCTCAGACAGGGACTGTGAGCGTCCTCTTCTACTGGCCCAGCCTTTCTTGATGACCATTCCCTCCGAGATCTGAGTTCAGAGTCTAGGAATCGCCCTTTTGACAACAGGGTGTATTTCAACCTTTCTCTCTGATGAGGCATTTAAGGTGCAAGACAGCGAATTGAGCCTTGTAAGCCGAAGCTGAAAATCTTTGGACTCTGAAGCCCGGGAAAGAACAGCTCCCTGTTTTTTGGAAAGAGTGCTGATCTGACCCCCGTGTCAAGGGAGACCCTCCAAAATGGTCAGCAACAGGGTCGCGGAATCTGGCCACCAGAGCCGGTCAGACCACTGTGCTTTCAGATGGGAGAGATGGAAAGGCGGTCATCGAATCATAGAATCTGTGTAGGGTTGAAAGGGACGTTGAAGGTTTTCTAGTCCAACCCCCTGCCCAAATGATGGTGTGGAAGGCCATCTCAATCAGGCTTTGGGATGGGTTTTGTTTTGTGTGTGTGTGTGTGTGTGTGTGTGTGTGTGTGTGTGTGTTTTGTTTTTTGTTTTTTGAATTTGTGGACTTTAGTCCCCGGATGTCTGCAGGAATACCCCTCAGCCAAACTTTGGGGGGAGGGTGTTAATCAGGAAATCCTGATGGGTGTTTTCAAGTTCTTACAGCTGGTGAAGCCAGACTCCAGCAGCCTTTTTCATCCAGTGGAGCAAATGGGAAACAAGTGACCAGGGCTAAACTGCATGGGATCTGCAAGGGATTATGGATCTGGTAGAGAGAGACTTCTCGTGCAGAGCCTATTGAGCAGAAACTACCACATCCGTAACCCCTTGCATCTCCATGGAGTTTAGCACTCCCTACCCATTTCCTAGCCTTCTCCACTGGGCCAAAATGTCTGGCAGTCTGAATTCACCAGCTGTAAGGACTTGGCCTGTTCAGGTTGTGAATGATAGTGAATCTTTCCCATTGTCTTTTATCAATTGTATGGAACGAGTGACTGCATCACGAACACTTTCATATTTTGAGATAACCAATATATGTTTTCCTGGGAGAATTCTGGGAGCTGTAGTCCAGAAATGCAAACTGGCACATCTGTAATGCTTATCCAAGAGACACCGAAGGGGCCCCAAATATCTGGGATGACTCTATCCTGATGTTCAACAACCAAATGCAAAGAGAAGAGTGCTCCTTATATATCCTGCCTCCTAGCATTTAAAGCACTATCTAGGTGGTTTGCAGTTTAATTATGCAGACTACACATTGCCAACCCAGCGAGCTGGATACTCAGTTTACTGACCTCAGAAGGATGGAAGGTTGAGTAAACCTTGAGCCTGCTATCTAAACCTGATGGGATTGAACTCAGATCATGAACAGAGTCTTAACTTCAGTACTGCAGTTTAAACACTCCACCACAAGGCTCCTAACCAGCCATATCTAATCATACTACCGTTGGCAGTCCCAGGCGAACGACCCGGGTTCAAAAAGAAAGGAAAATTTCCCAAAGCCCTTTTGAAAGATTATTAATCCAGGCCGCTTTCCATATTAACAACTGGATTTGTTGTTTGTTTGTTTGTGTGTGTGTGTTTGTTTTTTGCTTTGCCTCTTTTACAGCTTGTTTAGGTAAGAGGAAAATGAGGGGACCGCTGAGCGCAATCAAGCTTCTTGTGAGCCCAAGCAATAAGTATAAAAATTTAATTTCCCACATCTCGCCTCGAAAAGTAGCAGAAGGATCAATCCATAAAGGAGTCGCTACTTACGGGGAATATTCCAGTGGTCGCATCCGAGAGGTTTTTCCACCTCAACTGCATTCGAGTTTTCCCAAATTTTGCCACCTCAATTGCAGGCGACAAACCAAGTTGGAGGGTGCGTCATTTGGGTGACTTCAGTGGGGTGAAACACAACTGTGCTGGAAGTGATCTTTTTGACAGATGCCCAGTTTTTGTCCATAGCTGCCTTTTGGAGCGCCAAATTATGTGAATTTTTTTTTTTAAAGAAAGAGTGCTACAGAACCTGAAGGTCTGTATTGCCTGTGTTGCCACATGTATGCCATGTGGAATGGGGGACCCG